GCACTGCGAGGCGGCGGAGAGGCAGTCGGTGATTAACGGGCTGATGGTGACGCTTGCGAGGCTGTATTATGACGCAAAGATCAGGTGGAAGAAGACGGGGAGGGAGAGGGACCGGGTGGAGATGATGAAGTTTAGGGTAAGGATGGATGCGGATGTGCAGAGGTTGGCGGTGAAGGAGACGGTGGGGGAGTGGTGAGTCTTCTGACACTACTTCATACTGTTTCTCTGTTTGTCTGTGCTAACTACAGGTGCTGGTTACTCGATTATGTTGGCAGGTTTTGATCAACAATACATTCTTTTTTTTAAAACTACAAGTTTAAAATCTTCCCGAAAATTTTCGAACAGTGTGTCTGATGTGCTTTATATGTATCTCTTGGTGTTGTCCAAATTTAAAAATAAATTATTTTTTTAAATAAATAAAAATGAATAAAAGGAAAAGATTCAAAAATTTATGAAACTTAATGATAATAGAAGAATAGCCTCTTTAAGTGTTGTGGAGCCAAAAAACACGGAGGTCTAATCCGGGCATCAGATGTCTTTCGGCTCCGAGTCCCGGCCCGCCAAGCCGGTCTTTTATTACCCCCATGCCCAACACCCTCCCGCTCCGGTCAGCTCCCGTCTTTGTGACTTCCCACCCCGCCCCTTGGAGCAATCACTGTCCATTTCCACAGTCTTCCTTCATAATCTCAGTTATGTAATTGGCCCAGTAGTACCTTGTAGTCCAAGAGAGATGTCCTCAGACGACAAGAAACAAGCCAACCTCACCCGCATCCGCACAAACCAGCGCCTCGCCCGCGCCCGCCGAAAAGAGTACGTCGCTTCGTTGGAGAGCCGCATCGCAGAGTACGAACAGAAAGGGGCGCAGGCTACCCTGGAGATTCAGCTCGCGGCGAGGAAGGTTGCGGAAGAGAACGGAAGATTGAGGGAGCTGCTGGGCAAGCTCGGTGTGAGTGAGGCTGGGATCAGGGAGTACCTGCAGCAACCGCCTTCGTCATCAGGTTCAGCAGCAGCAGCATTACCAAGAGCAGAAACATTATCGACCAACAAGACCAAGGTGAACCGTGGTGAGGATGGAGAAGAGAAAGATTCGGAGCCGAATGAGTGCTCCATGGCTGCTGATTTGTAAGTCGCTCCTGAAATGGGGTGTTCCAGCGTCCATGAGATTTGAGACTGATAGAAAAGCAGAATATCCCTCATCACGGGCGCCAACACCAGCCAAGTCAGGGTAACGATGGGATGTGCCCCTGGGATAAATTGTGATGTCGATGATGAGGCGATCGAGAAGACCATCACTCGCCTGAAGGGTTCCGCTTCGAGCTGAACAAACATAAGAAAAGAAGGACAGCACATGATGATGGAAGATTTATTTCATCTTTTCCGCTTATTTTGCCAAGGGCAGAGGGGTATAGCTCATAATAAGTAATAGATACAATCAATATGCCCAAAAATACAAGAACAGTCAAATCGCTGCAAGAACGCCCAGTATCCTTCAACGCCCAGATTTGCAAAAGTTCAGAAGCAGGCATAGTGACCCCTTACTTGAACAACCGTCCGCCAGGTCACAAAAAGTAGTCTGCGACGGGCTTCTTGGCCGGCATTCCTCTTGAATCCTGGGGTGCGGCCTGGAACACCCGATACCTCCTCGCCGGCCCAGCTCTGTTATAGCCCAGCAAATCATTCTCCATCAGCACCCCCCTTGGCCCTTGGCCACCCATGCCACCATCACTCCTATTTACATCCCCGTTACTCCTCGCCAACACCCCCAACCCAGAATCATCCTCCGACAGCTCCAGCAACGCAGCCACATTCCCACATCGGTAACAGTAATTCGGTGCCGACCACACCGTGACGATACTGGCATCAAACATCTCCTTGAACCCCTCCATAACCAACTGATGCGCCCTCGCAATCAAGCTCAAGTCGTTCCTGTGATTAAACACCTTGACAATATCAGCCCCAAATAAGAACCCAGCCCCTCTCGGCGACAACCCCCACCCATCAATCTCATCCGGGTCAGACCAGAGCAAGTCGCACATAGCACCCTCATGAGGCACTTCCTGTTTCCGATCCAGCAGCCGAATCTTGTCCACATTGTCAATCAACGGGCTCAGCCCGCCATGGACACACAACACCGCCCCGGCCGGGTTCCCGACACTCCCTCCACTCGCCCCTGACGCCCCGGACCCCGGCGGGCCCGTATTCGTCGGCGCCGGCGGTCCACTCCCACCCTCACTAAACCCATTCGTCGTCGGCTGTTGTCCAGCCCCATTAGGACTTCCCCCCTCCCCTCCTCCCCTCTCCGGACTCCCACTTGCACCACTCTGACTCCCACCGGTCTGGCTGCCCCCTATATCCCCCTTCCTCAAAAATCTCGAAATGATCTGCTGGTCCGCATTGCAAACTTCAATCTCCACATCCTCCCCCGCCGGCGCCATCCCCGCACCACTCGGTTGCGAGAGCGTATTACTAGCCCCCAGCACAATCGCGCCCAGAGCCAAGTAATCAAACACATCACAGCAATACCTCCACACATTCGCGCTCCCATATTTCCTCAGGCACTCGTCGTAGAAGCCATACACTGTTGTGATCTGCCGGGACTCGTGGTTGCCCCTGATGAGCGTCATTCGATCCGGGTACCGGACCTTGAGGCAGAGGAGAAGCAGAAAGGACTCGAGTGAGTAGAAGCCGCGGTCGACAAAGTCGCCCATAAAGAGGTAGTTGGTGTCGGGGACGTCGCCGCCAACGCGGAAAAGCTCCATTAGGTCGTGGAACTGGCCGTGGATGTCGCCGCATATCTGTTTGGCAAAGTAAAAATCATTAGCTAGGTGTGGTCTTGGTTGCAAAGTACAGAAAGATGAAACACGTACTGTTACGGGCGCGTTGACTGTCACGACGTTTCCTTCCTCAATCAAGAGTTCTCTTGCTTTGTGGCAGAGCTCGCGGACTTCGTTTTCTGGTATCGGGCGGCAGGCTCGTAGCTGAGCGATTGCTCTGTTTTGATTTATCGATTAGATATTTGCTTTCCCAGTTAAACAAACATTTCGGGCGCGCGCGCACGCGTGCACATGGCTCTCACCTGTCGAGGTCGCTCATTTTTGCTTCTATTTTGGCGTAGTGTTGATTTATGGCCAGGGGGGAGAGGAACTATGACGATGTGCGTCGCAGGTAGATGAAGACGTTGTTTGTCGCGATTGTAGATGTGGCGTGGTGGGGGAGCGAACAAGATAATAATTGATAATCATCTATCCGATAAAAATAAACTTCAAAGTCCTGTCCTGTATTGCGCCGCGCTTTTGCTTGAACGAAAACAGATAAAACTTTCTTTACCGTTGAGACTTTGCTCCGGGGATGATAAGGTAAAAATAATACCAACTATCAGATGAAAGAATGCTCCCGGTTTTCAACAAAGTCGTTTTCTCGTAGAATAATGCTTTTGCGCAAAGGAGGCGGCGGCGGCGGCGACTTCGCTCTTCTCGCCGCCAGCTGTGCTTGCTTGGTAGCCAAGGTCTCCCCAAGTCGTCTAACCCGACAATTAACTATGTGGCCCGTGCATCTAGCTCCGGTAAGCTAGCGCGCTTCCCAAAAAAGTGAATAGCGATGCGGCGGCGCCTGACAAGCTCGGGCTCGGCTCAAGGAAAACGGGATTGTGGGGTCATCAGCATCGTCAATCCACATCCCAAGCTTCCAGCATCCATCTCGAAGTAGAGAGCTCCTCTCCCATTCCTGCCTCCCGACCTCCCCCAAGCCGCTCTCCTGTTCCCCCCTCTACAGGAGTCATGGTCTAATTCCAATCTCCCTTGTAAAACACATTGATTGGTATGTTTTGCCTCTTCCCAAACCCATCCAAATCTAAATCAAAGCTAACATTTCCCGCAGCCCTCCTCCACCTCTCTATCGGTCATATCCTGTCCCCCAGGGCTGCTACCATCGACAATGCCACCCCCCCACCTCCACCCCCGCTCCCGCTCAACATCAACCCTCTTCGCAACGACCCTCGTAGCCTCCTTTTTTGTGGTAGCCCTCCCGCACATCCTCCCCTGTCCAGCGCCCAGACGAACCCTCGCAGACGGCGAGCTCGACCCTACTGCCAAGAGGAAAAGAAGACAACCGAAGGAGATTGTAGGAGAAGACGGGGTCGCGAGGTTCAACAATGTGGTAGCCACAACACCAGAACAGCAGGAGGAGCTGCTGAAGTTGCGAAGGGAGAGGCAGGAAAGGAGGGAGAAGGAGAGGAAGGAGGGGAGGGAGTGCCCGGTGCCGAAGCCGGGGGGGATGTTGGGGGAGTGGTTGGGTTTTCACAAGGATACAGTCAAGAAGGAGGATGGTGGTGAGGCGAGATGAAAAGGTTGTGCAAAAGCAGGAAATTAGGAGAAGGAAATGGGGCTGGCACACCGCCGCTATTCGCTTCTGGAAGTGAGGACAGGGAGAAGTTAAAGGCGAGGTTGGGGATATAAAATAAAATACAGGAAACACCAGAGATAGAGGCTTGGTTGAGGATTGTACATAAGGGAAAGCATTCAAAAACGGCAAAACACCAAGGTGGGAGTGGAACGGTTGGTGGGAAAGGCAAATGTGAACGGAAGGATTGATAGATGGATACCCCCAAGGCGAAAGAAACAAGGGCAGTAGAAGAAAAGCTGCACAAAAAAGACATTGAATGGAAACAACAGAGCCGAGAAGGCAAAATTTAGTTTTATTGACTGCAATGGTGCATGGTGCATGAGTGTTTACAACCTTTTGTTCGGTGGCGGCATGAACAACAAGGCCGTGGAGATTGTGCCCTGCGGTGGCCTCGCCTACTTTACAGACAAACGCTCTTGTTGGTGTCAACACCCTTTGAGTTAAGATGAGATTAAGAACGACCCTGTGGCTATGAACAACGACGGGGAGAGCAACCACACCAGGATCAACTATACCAAGAACAGCTTGACGACTCTGCTCTAGATTTCTTCATGTGAGTATCAAGCAGATGTAAAAAGTTGCAAGAAAACCACCAAAAATGGGCGCACCAGGATTCGAACTTGGGAATCTCACTCGTGTAGCACAAATACTTAAACTTCCCACCATTCGAGACTGGTAACCAGTACTAGTTTGATTGTAGGATTTAGTATGAACATTTGTGCACCTGAGACGTCTTTGTCCATTAGACCATACGCCCTTTCCCTTTTTTCTTTTTTTTTTTTTTGGGTTGGGGGAGGGGGAGGGGGAGGGAGTTAGGTTATTATGTGTCACCGACTTCAGATTTACATGTTTGGCTTTATGCCCCGTCTAGAGAGAGGTGTAGTGGACAACCGGGAGCAGCTGGGAAGCAAGTGAGCCAGAGGGGATTGTGGTTTGTTTTTATGTTGACAGACCAGTGCTCCAGAGAACTACGCTAAAGACTAGCAAGTTCCAAGAGAATAGTTTTGAACTCCAAGATTAAGGGCATGAGGGGAGCTCAGTTCAGGGAGGAGCAAAAGAAGTCACGACTCGGAGAGAGACAACATGGGAGGCAACGATTCTGAAGAGAGCCCAAGTGGAAGAGAAAAAAAAAAGAAAAGCTAGGGTGGGATGCCACGAAAGAAGGGAGGGGGGAGAGGGAGAGGCCGTAACTAAAAAGCCACAAAGGTTTCACTTTGCGGTATTGCCTCTCCACCAAGGCACACTGACTGCTGGGTGAGAAGGGGAGAGAAGAGTCCCGATTCTCCCCAACCACACTTACCAGCCCTTGTGAATGTAAGCTCGCACATATGAGGGAACTCTGCGGGTGGCATTTTACTGCTAAAAAAAGGGCACAAAACCTCCATGTCTTTCTACTTTTAAGTTACAACTAGTGTTGGAACACAAACGCCGCCCACCCCCCTCTTCATGCTCTCAATAAACAGAGTAGCCAACGGCCATACTGCCTGTTCAGCTATTGTCAGTGGCCGTGAATGCTCCGTCACATGGTCGATCAACAAGACACGAGGAGGGTAGACAAAAAGAACGAGAGGAATGTTTGTTCTTGTTTAATTCCCCATCATTGTCTCGAATCTAGCCTGGCCATCATGGATAGGCACAGCGAACTAGTCGTTTGTAATACACCCCCATACTGGAGGAGCAACCGGGAGTAAATAGTTTAGGTTTTGTCTATTATGCAAATAACAGTTATCACTTCCCACAACATCCCGGGACATATCGCTCATAAAGGTCAGTAGACCGGTAAAAGACTTTTTTTTTCTCCGGTTGTCATCCATACTCTAAACCTACGAAGCGGTAGACAGAGAGCAAGCTAGGTATACACACACATTCCTCGCTCCAATCACCTCAATCTTCCTCTTGATCTATCTACCCTTCACCCTCGCCCCCCTTTCCACATGCCCACTAATTGTCCCTCGATCTCCACAAGCATAGTCTCCCCCTAAATAATAGTTGTTTTTTTGGAAAGTTCAGAAGAAAGTACAGCTGCTGATAGAGTCGCTGGATGGAATAAAGAAACAAAAAGAAGAAGAAAAGCACGATTACAAACCGACCCTCCCGCCCAACTCAAGATCCTATCCTGTTTCTTCTGTCGTCCACCCCATTCCTGTTCCTTGATTGCTCTGCCAGAACTGAAAGTGCACCCGGATCCCATGTCCCTCCCCAAAAAGTTTCCCTTCCGAACGCCAGAATGTTGACAAAAAACAAACCGATTTTTGGTATTGTGCTGCGCGGTATTGAATGAAGTGATGTAGCCGAAGTGTAGCCCGAAGTGTAAGCCGAAAAAGTAATGACGAGAAGCCATATATAGGTAGGGACGAGACGAAAAAATTTCGGCAGGGAAAGAAGACTGAATGTATTTCAAAGCAACATGATATTAATCCCCCTTCTCCCCCAGTCCTTCTTCCAGCAAGACCAAAAAAAAAAAAGGTAAACTCTCATTTTCCTGTCTCCTCTGCCGCCGCCGTCGTTGCCTGCGCCCTATCCGGACTTGACGCTCTCACCACCGCCGTTTTTAGCACCGGAGCAATGCTGATAGCGATCTTTTTTTGACCACCGCCTCCTGCCCCGTTTGGACTCCCTTCTCTACTCCTCGACTTGTTCCCTCCATTGCCAAAACTCTGCTTCTTACGAAGAATTCCAGCAGATAATGAAGAATTACTTCCTGCGCTGCTACTGTTCCTTCGTTTGTGCTGCATAAGCTTGTCAAGTGCATCGTCCTCGTCCTCTTCGCGCCGTCGTTTCTCAGATAGTCGCTCCGGTGGTGGGCCTCCTGTCGCTGTAGGCGGTGTACTTGGTGGCTTTTGGTTCTCTTTTGACGCTTCGTCTTGTGGTGTGACATAATCTGCTGGCGTCATCACTGCATCGTCACTTCCATCCTCTTCGTCGTCCGAGGTATACTCCACAAGCGGTTTCGCTGGCGCTCCGTTGATAAGTCGCAGTTCCGGTCCCGCGGGGTGGTTCTCATCGTCGTCGTCCGAGGTATTCCAATATTCCTCCTGGGCCTGGTCCACTGTAAGATGCTCCATCATTCCTCTCCCGGTGTTGGCGGGTCGTCTCACCAGCTCTTCCTCCTCATCCGGCTCGCTGATGGTGTAGCCTTGAGACTGGTCGTATCTCGTCATCATGCCTCGGAAGTAGTCGATGTGGGAAAGAGCGACAATCTTTTCGCGATAGTTTTCCATGATGTGCTTGGCCAGATCACGGTCGCCCTCATAGTTGATCGATGTGAGGAAGTCCAGGCAAGCAGACGACAAGAGGTTGTCTCGTGGCAGGGTCCGCAGCAAGGTGTCTAGTACTGGGCCCAAAACTCGCTTCTCGGCCAAGTGTTTGCTGTAAAAGTTATCACGCAGTAGCACCAGATGGCGGAAAAATCGAATGGCAACTAGGAACAGGTTAGCGAAATCCACATCTCACAAACCAATAGCCATACCAAGCTGCAGGTGCTTCTGTTTGCAGGCAAGAAGCTGGCAAAACCGCTGCGGAATGTTGTTTTGCAAGACAAAATACTTGCTTCGATGGTGGTGATGTCGGATATAAAAGCACAGAATCTCGTTCAAATACCCAAAGATGCCATCTTCGAGAGCATTGAACTTCATATTCGGCCGCTTTTCGAGGTCAAGCAGCGGCTTGAAGAGCTTGGTGGCGGAATTTTCGTAAAAGTGTGCTATAAAGACCTCTTGTTGAGGTTCGATGGCCACATGTTGCCTGCTCTTGCCCATGAGCCCGTCCCTGTTGTCCGGAGGGGGGGCACCGGGGCCATTCGGATCCAGGAGAACCTTGAGTGACTCGGTAAGTTGTGACTTGATTCCCAAGTCGACCTCGACGAGAAGAAGATCGATCAAGCTGTCGGTCAGGGGTGCCGTTTTCCTTTGGATCTGTTCGTAGATGGTCTTCCGGATCATTGAAGGGTCAAACTCTAGTACCGAGCCGAGGATGTCTGTAGCACCAACCCGGACGGACACATCGGGATGCCTAAGCCCAAAATTAATGACGGGAAGAAGTCCTTGCTGGAGGAAGTTGCCATAGAGTCCTTGGCGGGCAGGCGGTTGAAGGTTCTTTGAGATGGCACACATTTGCTGTATGAAAAGGACCGCTTCCTTCTTGCGCAGCGGCTGCTCATTAGGATCACCAAACACAGCAAAGAGGTCTGTCATGAAACCGGGCGTCATGTGGAGATGCTGCACGATCTCGACCTGGTTGAAGAAGATGAGCGAGTTGAGAACCGAAAAGGTAGGGTCGTCCAGGATCCTAGCAAGCACAACATCCTTCAAGTACTGTAGTCGGTATGTCTGGTGAATCTTGCGTCGCACTTGGTCGTCCTGGATCCTCACCACCTCCTTGTACCGCCCCTGATTGTTTAGCCACTGCCGGTGGTTCGCTTTGTGTGTCGGAAAATCGGGATCGTATTCCATTGCGCCCACAACTCCCAAAACACATTCGTCAGACACGGCATGTTCGATGAGGCCTGTATCGTTCAGCAACACCACGGTCTTCATAATATTGCAGAGATGATGTAGGTCCCCCAAGCTCTCAAGATCCTCGGCCATTTCTACTAGTGGAATAAGTTTCGCGATATAGTCTTCGCTCATTATTGCTTTGGCGAGGGCATCGCGGCCGGATGGGGATTGCGACAGATTTCGCAGCGTGTTCTCTATATCGATCAGCGTCCCCAACTCTGCTGGCGGAAGCTGAATGGCAGCTGGCATATCCATCGCCAAGTCGTCAGAGAGGCCATCATCTGTGAAACGGTGATGTCAGCAGGCATTCCCCTGGATAGGCTATGCAGCTCCTACCTGGACCCCCCATGGCAGCCTGAAATTGTTGTTGGACGTTGTCGATAAATTTCCTGCAAGGGCGAGCGGTTAGCATTCTGCAACAAACCCGACTTGCGCAAAGGTCCACACAAACCATATTGCCTGGCATCCATCTGCCTCTTGGAAGGAGAGCGCCATGTCGACGCCATTGTCGGTCCATACGATGAGGGTATCTGTGGCAGAAGTTAGACAGCCAACTCTGAACATCGCAATGGTTGTACAACATGCCCTGCTGTTTCTGAAAACCATCATCCTTGACTATCTTGGTTTCGAGTAGTAGTCTGTCCGGTTGGTCTTCTGACTGGACAATCACGCGGGGTTCTTTGGGTTGGTCTTCCTGGATCTGGGAATGGGAGTTGAGTCATCAGCGGACCATGTCTACCATGCGGGGAATGGAAAACATACAGTGACGAAGCAGGCGGTGCAGAAACCGGTGCCGCGGTCAAACCAGTCATTGTTGCGAAGCTCGTAGACCTTGACGCGCTTCTTATCCGCCGTCTGATGAGGCACGGGCTGTGCCATCATCAAGCGTTCGATCGCCTCGTCGGAGACGTCGAGAGCGTCGCTGAGCAGGTGGGGTGTGATGTCGAAATGGTGCGGCGACTGCGATAGTTCGGGCTCGGCCGGATTGAGGAGAGCAAGGGCCGCCACTTTGTTCCGACTGTTGCGCGCTCCAAAGATGGGGAGCGCGTTCTTTGGTGCAGAGAGTTGGATAACGGGTTGACGGACAGGCGCTCGGGTGTTTTGCCAGGCACAGGAGCTAGGCGTGGTAAGAGAGAGTAGCTGGGCCCTGATAGCCCGGCAAAGTCAAACTGGTACTCGGGTGGGCTGTGGAGTGCGTGACGTCGAAAAGTCCGATGTCGAGTGGTTCAGGGAGCCATAGGGTTTCGGAAGGTCTAGCGGC